TTCTTTTGTTTTCTAGCAGAGATAAAAAAAGAAAGTTCAGGTAAGTCACTCCTTTTCAAACAACCAAACATTTCATAGCTTTTAGGAAGACTATTTTGCCATGATGTGTCAGATTACCTTATAAATGTACTTTAAAATACCTACACACAGATTTTTCTTAAAGAAATAGATAGTTTGTGTGTGGGCTTAAAGTAAACTTACTAGTTTTGAAAAGTGTCTTCTTTCTTCTCTCCCTCCCTCCCTCCCTCCCACCTTTCCATTTATAACTGTAAACTTACTGCTACTCCTAGGCCTTTATAAGATTAATTCTGAACAATCAAGGGACTAAAACACTTTTACAGTGTAATTACAGTAGTACAAATTGTTTGCCCAAACCTCATTCTGGATAAGGATTTTACAATTAGCAAACAGTTATTATAGTTAGGGCTTGCTGAGAGAAATTGCGCAGCGGACATCTAGAGTTGCAATCTAGTAGCCATAAAAAGAAAAGAAAAAAAAACCTGCTGTAGTAGAGCAGCAATTAATCACCTATTAAAAGGAAAAGGTAAAGGGGTGGTTGTAGTAAATTACTATCCACATTTATACCTGTGATGAGACAGCATGCATCCTTAGCTTATTTCAAACACTTGCTTTAAGGCAATAGCACTTTTACCTTGGGAAAACTTGGCCTAGTGAAGGGTTCTGACACTTGCCCCTGGTACTTGCACTTGGGCCTTCCATAGTCAGCTTTCCCTTCCTAACCTAGAGGATCTTCCCAAATAGAGAGAAGGAGGACATTAAAGAGGCAGGCCGGGACCTAAGTCTCTATTGTTTACACCCTCTTGCAAGGAGGCATTTAAAGTAGGTGTTGCCCCTTTAGGCTGTTGGTACAGTCCTAAGCGAGAACTCCCTTCTCATTTTCTGTTCTTCTATAAGGAATTGTGCCTTTGGAAAGATCTATATCCTGAATTAGGCTTTTGTCCCAAAAGTTCACACTCATGAATCAGCTCCAAACCCCACAGAAATTAAAGAGGCACCTCTTAGGGTAAAATGTGTGTGTATTTGCCAGCCCAGAATAAACAAGAGCCTGTTAATCAATAGAGTTTGGCAGCTGTGTTCACAGAATGATAAGGGTTTATCATCTGGCACCTAACTTTTAGATGCCTGTGAAACTGTTAGGATCGGTCTTGGTCTTTTGGTTGTCCTGGGGTGCAGTGGCTTGAGGCCCCGTACTTCAAGAACTTTCATCCTCCTCATCTCACCCCTGCATTAGCATTTACATTTCAAAAAACAGAACTCAGGGGCGGGAAGGACAGTTTAAAGAAAATAGATTTAAAATCTAGTAGAGATAATAGAGGAATGCTGAAGATAAGAGGCTGGATGCGATAGGAGAAAGGTACCAAGAAGTCAAAGCTAATGAATGGCTGCGAGGAAACTGAAATAAACTATTTAGAGGTCTATAAAATGGAGAAACTTGGTTAGGTGATATGAAAGGGGGTTAACTGAGGGGATTAGGAAAGACGTTAATCAAGTGCCCTAAAGCTGTAAGAACTGGGAGATTTGTTTACTGCATTTTGCTTCAGAAAACAAAGAATGTCTGGGACCAGTTCAGAAGTCAATGAGAGGTCAGCTTAGGCTCTCCAACTGTCCAAAGGAAAATACCTAAGTCACTATATTCTGACTGGATAATGCAAAAGTTAAGAAATGAAGGGTGGTTGGTGATGGTGAGGGCGGGGGGTGGGGGGTGGGGGGTGTTTTCCTTACTATCTTTCTATTTCAAATCATTAAAATGCTTTGGTCTCTAGAGGGGGGAAAATTACACTGGTTAACATAATTACTAGCTCTGACATTTTCAGAAGTTATAGAGGTCTTTTATTAATTAAATGGAGGGCTTAATAAAATATTCCTAATAAAATTTATGGTTGTCTTAAAACTTTCTAAACAGTGCTATAAATTCTTTATAAAATTAACTGGGAAATGAGTTATTAGCCCACACTTTACCCCCCCCCCCCCCCCAAAAAAGAAAGAGCGTCTGCAGAATGAAAAGGGAAATAGAAGCCTTTTTAGTAAAATATAAATGTTAGCCAAAGTCACACATTGTTTTAGAAGAGGCAAAGTTTCAACTGTTTCTAATGGCTTCATCTTCCAGTATGTCCTCCAAAAGCTATTCACAAAACTTTTAGAGAATTTCTTCCCCTTCTCAGCTGCATATTATATATTCATGTATATCTAAGTCCATTTGAAATACAATGCTTAGTTTTCTGGATTGAGTTATATACTAACTTTAATAAAAAGCATAGCATAGCTGCATCATGCAAGATTCCAACTTGTAATTTTTAAGGTTAAGATTGTAAATATTTTCTTTAACCATTAGAAGATAATTAAAAATGACATGCCTTGTAATATATGTCAGTTTAATTTCTTTAAAGGTAACTTTTAAGTACATTCTCAATCATACTTCCCTATGAACTCCTCACTTATAACAGTGCATTATCTGAAGCAGCATTTTGTTGTGTAAATATAAAAACTTTTTCCTATCACTACCTTTCAAAACCTGGGTGAGTTATCTTATGTTTGAGATACTTCTTTGCTTCAGAGAAACAACACTGGCTGGCTGGCTGTTTAAAAGAAACAACATAGCCAAACACACTCCAAATCAAACAGCCTTGGTGGATTGTTCAGCATTTGAAGGCTTGATCTTTTGTGCCGTCTACTGGACAATGGAAAAACTACAGTCTCTATGATTTAAACTTTTCTCTTGTCCAGTGTTGGGGGTGGGGAGTGGGTAGGAAGGGGGATGTGACTTGCTACTGGTAAATAATAAGAGAGGAAACGAGACCTAATTTAGACTCAGAGTACAGATCTTGTGACTTCAAATCTTCAAATCCAAGTTTAGGACATTATATTAACTATAGGCATGCCTCAACCACTTGATTAAGGCACAAGGCTAAAACCTACATTTTACACAACTGTGTGTGTGTGTGTGTGTGTGTGTGTGTGTGTGTGTCTTGGCTTGGAAAGAGAAAGAAAGATGGTGGGACAAGCTTAGCATCTCTGAAAAAAAATATTGGTGGTTACTTGCCTCTGAGTGAGAATTGGCTTGACAGCCAAGTTACATGTATTTATTGCCTAGATAATCCAGGATGTACAGGTTAATTCTTGGAATTTGGAACATGATATTGTTCAATAATCCAGAAGAGTACTTTCATGAGGGGAGAAATGAAATTGGTAATTAGAACAATGTTAGTGCAGTTACTTTTTGGCAATCTTGGATAAAAACGTGAAACTTCACTGTTTTCACTTGGAGACCACATGTGGGAAAAAGTGAGGGTGAAATTCACAGTCAGATGCTTTTATGTAGCAGAGGCTGTTTGATGTTCTCTTAAACATGTAAAAACATTGTATACATTTTGGTTACGATTTCAAAAATATTTATAGAGCTCTAGTATTATGGAAGCTTCATACAAAAAATGCATGGAGCTAACTTTGACCTCTGACATTGACATAGTTTCTGAATAACCATAATTACCATATAGACGTGATTTTGTGTAGGAAAAATATAAACAAAGCCCAATGGCAATGAAATACAGAGAAGTCAAGCTGATTTTGGTGGAAGAGACAGACTTGGGTACAAGGCTCTTAAAACAGTCCATCTGCTTTTCTGAAGTTAAAACTCCCTATTGAATTTTAATATAACCTAGTAGTACACGACTAGTTGATAGGGTGCCTTTCAATAATAATCCAATAGTGAAAAGGAGTCAGCTTTAGGGCATTTTCTTGCTGCATAAATATATTTCAATGATCTACTTCAAATGATGTGGCAGTGTGTCAGAATGACGTTAACATATTGTATTAAATATAGATACAGCAGAGAATTGGGGCTGACGCCGACTCCTTAAAGCAAGGGAGATTGCTTATGTTGCAGAGTAAAAATAAATAAATAAATAAAACAGGATGCTTTCGGTTGTGCTGCCGTGTGGCGGAGGGGGTGGTGGGAGTGGTGGACCATGTCTCCTTAACTTTAGCATAATCAACTGGACTGTGAAAGGTTATTTTCTGAGATGCTGTTTGGATCCCTTGGTCCAGAATAAAGCAGCAACAACAGGGCTCTCCTAAGGATCGCTAGAAAATGTAGAAAATTCTTACGGGAACCAATTACCAGTACTCACACGCCTGATACATTCTAAGCGGACAGTGGACGTCCGGAGGGCTGGTGAAGGTTCTCTGGTCACCAAGTGCAAACATTTATCTTTGAAGCAAGAGGATGGGCCAGACTGGTCATGATAAACATTCATGTTCCACTGGATAAAGGGACATATTTTGTGAAAACCTTCAGGCAAAAAAAAAAAAATCGTACTGATTGTTCAAAAATAAATATCTTAACATTTCATTGAGCTCTCTAATGAATGAGAAGAACATCCTAGGCCTCCTGCAGCTCAGAAAGCATCCTGGTAGCCTGAGACCCAGCGAAGGAACAGACCAGGAGCTGAAGGAGCCTGCTGAGTCGCTATTCACTTGGGGATATCTGAAAACATACTGTTCCATGCCCTTATTTAAAAAGGAAAAATAAATATCATATTTCCATGTCTTTTTCAAACAATTAACGTCAGCCTGTGGTATACTTGCTAAAAATCATGATGTTTCCCCCCAGGCGACTTATGCAAGAAAGGGCCCCTTTGAAAACGTATAACTAACGGGAGAAGTCCACTCTGAACCGCAAACAAATCGGTTCGCACTGAGCCACAGCCCGGAGTGGAGTGGCGCCCCTTCTTTCGCGCGCGGCTGGGAGAACTTCAGCGACTCGCTGATGGGATGCCACTCCCGGGACTCTTGATGGAGCGCGATCTTTTCACAGCAGACCCTTCAGCTGCGCTGTCCTTGTCGCCCATGCCAGGTCCCCCAAAGGCAGGTCCTGCCTGCACCCCACCCCAGGCGCCGACTTCCCGGGCCTGAAGGGGGTCCTGGCGGGATACACCACCCGGGGGTGGGGGCCGCGGGCTCTGCTCTCACCTGGCTGGGCGGTGGGGGGTGGAGGTTGGTTTGGAGGAACGTGAACCTCCCCGGGGACCCCGAAACATCTGGAAAGAGCGCATGATGAAAAGGTCTCTCTCCGGCCTGTGCCCCATCCCCCGCCCATTTTGACAACACCCTCTCTTCTCTTTGGGGTTCAGCATCTGCGGGACGGAGCGGGTCGAGCCGGGACTGCGCGGGGGTGGCAGCGCGGAG